GCGCCCGCATGTAAGTGTAATTCTATATACATATTAATTATAAATCTCTCAAAATCATATACTGTTCGATGAATGGGAAACTATAAATGAAAGATAATCGTCGCAGTTTAAATATTATTCCAATATTATGAGATATATCAAAAGCTAAGAGAATATATAATTGAATCATTTTAGATATCGATTGTTTGGAATGAATAAAGACAATTGAGATAATTTTTCATGCATAACAATTTCAAATGTCAGCTTTCACTTATATTAATATGGTATTTCAATTAATATCCCGCAACAATTTAAAGGGCAACGCGCGTATCTTTGTAATTTTTATATAAAATATTCATTCGTAAACTCATAATATTCTGTGTTAGAATTTGTAAATTTCAATCAGATGTATGTGGTAAATTCATGGCTTCAGTTCGACGTTGCAATCGTTCTGGATGCGAACAAGCCAATTGACTGAAGTCACGGACGACATCATTGAATGTTTCATCACCGGTAACGCCTATTTCAGAATCCTTCATTTCTTCATTCAGGAGACCAAGTCGTAATCTAAGATTTACACACATCGATATAATAAAAGAAAATATTTTAATATATAAAGAAATTTTTACGTATAATACTTACAAGGTAACAATGTCAGCATTTGCTTCTTTTACAGCGATCGATAAAGGTTTTATTCCGCTTTCATCTTCAATGTGTTGATCGGCACGATGTTTAAGAAGCAAGCATACTTGTGCAGTATGTCCTAAATATGATTGTAAATATTTATAAGATCATAATACTCACTCCCCCGCAAAGCAAAAAAAGATATTATTTGTGCATACCTAATTCTGTCGCTAAATGCAATGGCGTTTTCCCCTCGGCGTCTTGACAATTAATTCGTGCACCATTTAACAGAAGATATTCACACGACATAACAGAACCCTGTAAGATATGAATGACTATTATTATAGTCCCATATTTCGCGGTTCATTTTTTCTTCTTTTTTTTTTTACAAGAGATTATACAAAATTGTAAAATATAATTCACAAAAAAAGAAAAATTATGTATTTTGTGTTCCTGTATTTGTATATATATCACGTGTTATATAAAATACAAAAATATAATGTACATACGTACACTTATTATCGCTTGATGCAGAGCATTGCGGCTTTTATCGTTAATATTGGACCATAATTTGTCAGCACCGGCTGCTAATGCCGCACACATTACAGGTAAATTATGTGCCGCAGCAGCTTTGTAAAGCAGCATTTCAGGATGCAGATTTTCTATATCTTCTTCATCGGTAAGTTCTTCATCCTCACCAGCAGTTGAATCTTGATCGGAACTCAATTCTAAATTATCATCGATAGCGGGTTTCGGTACATCGCAACCAAACATTAATACGGCTGATTCTGCTTTTTTTGCGTTACAATGCATCTCTGTTCCAAAGTCTTTATTACCTGAAATGTTTTTGTTATCATGCTTGACTTTGTTATCAATATGTTTATTGGAATTATCATTCGATTCGCCAACTGAGACTATATTAATATTAGCTGTCAATGCTGTATTCAGTTTTCGTTCGCTTTCTATCGGATCGAGACCTTTCAGCAATTCATCGCTTACAACTTCTCCATGAGCTACGATATTCCTAACATATTTGTTAGCATCATTCAGATTGTTCTGGGAACGATTTAAAATCTTTCCATAAAGAGAGGAGTTGTTTTTTAAATCCATATTGGCACTATCATCCGAGCTTACGGAATTTCGTTCTGTTTTTTTAATCTTGTCAACAGAATTTAAACTATCGATTGACGTATGTTTGCTTTCATCCGAGCTTGTTGAAGGATGACTTTCTTTTACAGATGACAATGTTGATGTTTTATGAACATTACTATTATCGATTTTATCGCAACTGCGTGGTCTGCGGCGTAGCTTACGCACGCTCCATTTTCGAAATCGCATTTGTTCTCGACTAGCGTGATGCCCGGTTGATACGACTTCAGTCAAAGCTTTTACGAATTTACGATCTACATATTTGGACTTTATCCAAGCTTCTCGAACGTTACTAGAAAAAAAGAGATATAAAAAAATATTTTTGTAAGATTTCTTCTTATTGTCATTAAACGAAATATTGATCAACGCATATCATGTACCCATTGCATTTTGGCGTAGCTTTAATAATATCGGAAGATATAGGTAAAGCTTCGTATATACTATTCACCACGGAATTGCCTAATTCTGCCATTACTTTAAGTATCTCTGGTTCCCAATCATCCAAAGTTAGAGATCGAACTTTACTATAATGTACCCCAAGACTTCTATGTACACCGGAACATTCTACACAAAAATAAAAAATATCAAAAATGAATTGAATGCAGCATACTTCGCGTGCGCACATATACACAAGTGGCGCATATACTTTTCGAATAAAGTTTACCTATGCAAAGTGTAATGCCTAGATTGATGCTAGCCCATCTCGGATTAACATCGCCGCAATCGCAACAAACCTCGTTACCTGAGATTTTTAACAACTGTTCCCATACTCTAAAATTTCAAAACGATACGATTTCGAAAAATATACTCATCTCTTCAACAATCGTCGACAAATCAAAGGCATTAAAAAACGAATACACACCTTGATTTTGGTTTTGTTAATGGTCTCGCAGGGCCCTTACTATTGCATAATTGTGATTCGTGTGGATTAACACTAGTACCTAGACTCATGCCTCTCTGAATAGCAGCACCGATAGCTTGCTGTATCGCAGCCACCCATGCCAAATATGTTTCTACGCTGTCTGCTTGCAACATGTGACTCCTACAAAATTAGAAATTTATTATTTTTTTTTGTGTTTTACGTATAGAGATATGCCGGATAATCCTTTCATTCATTAGTGTATTATTATATATCGACCAGAAAATGCATCAGACTCACTTTGTCGGACTTAAAACTTCAAAACAATTTCTTCTGTCGCAATCAACCACAGGTTTCACAGTACATAGTCGCAAATCTTCTTCCATAATTGTATATCCTTCGTCACCTGTTCGTTTTCGGTATACCAGTTGATGATCCTTTAAACAGAACCATCTTCTGTTCCAAGTTTTGAAAGCGTTACTAGTCCTTTTAAATAAATAACCTTCCATTTTGGTATTACCAGGTACCGGAAGAGGGATCAGATCTTGATTATTGACATAAATATGACGATTTTCCATTTCCTTTTCCAGTTTATTCGAATCACTTCTCATCTTGACTAAATTTTCATCGAGATCTTTCAGAAAAGGATCTAAATCTTGAGCAAGATCGCTACCTTGATGATAATAAGTAATGCATGCGTGCATGTAACTCAGCAATGTACCTAATATTTCATGTCGTTTGTGCGCTTGCAGCATTGTCAATGCGTGAATATAATCTAACGCGGTGTGTCGAAAACACGATCGAGTAGCCGACAAAATATTTGATACTTCCTCATATTCTGCAGATCGAGATTTCGGTACTTGAGAGTTTCTATTCAGTGCAATATCAAGATCACTAGAAATTCTTTCAAAATAATGCCGTGTTTCTTTCGTTCTCTTGATGTGACTGGAAAGAAATAGGCATAAAATTTTGTAAAACATAGCGATAGATCAAGATTTCTTCGGTTTAAAAAAAGCAATGTAATACGATTTACGTTTTAGTAAAATTATTAAGATCCTTCATCACAGTCCTAGATGCTTGGTCCAATAAAATGGTATGATATTTATTCATTTCTTGTAAAGCATGGATGAGTTTATTTAAGAATGCCATTACTTCTGGGTCATCGCTAAAGTACAATGATAATTCCCATAGACTATTGGCAAATTGGCTATTAGAAAGATAAAAATATTAATAATATTTAAAATAAATTAAAAAATATACAGGTGTATTATTTTCTTCAAGCATATTACATTATATATATATATAAATTATGTATTATCTTATACATTTCTTTGAGTTTAACACAAATACTTTTATACAATAATATGATTGATCAATGAAATGATCGAAGCATAAAGAAATTACTTTTGTTGCCCAACAAAGGCCTTTCCAGTATCAATGGTCAGACTGCAGCTTTTTAATACCTGTAAAAAACAAAGGATACAATTTGGAAGAAGCAACACACGTACATACAAGTACATATGCTCGTGTGCCATGGGGAGTATACAATATATGAAAAATTATAAACAAAACGTTACCTTTGGTTATACATTTACCTATAGTTTCATCTATAGTTATATATTATATTATATATTAAATTACAATCGGTAGAATATAATGCAAAAGTTAAATAGAATATCTTTAATTATACAAGACTTTTAATCATTTGATATTGTACAATACCTTATCTAATTTTTGTTCAAGTTGCTCCACATTCTTCTCCACCTCTTCGATGCACAATCTGTAAAGTTTATATTTCACACACACACACACACACAAAATCTTATATCTTTTTCATTTCGTATAACATAATCTTGATTTAAAAACTTGTTGAGCGTAAACTTGTATCGCAAAACAACTATCAACAGTATTCGAGTATAATGTCGGGTATAACTCGAGCAATAATATCGGGCAGAGAGAATGATCGAGATGATCGAGATGATTTGTACGATGTTTGTGTACGAAACTGAATTTAGAGAGGAAGAAAGGAAACAAGAAGAAAGGAGATATCTTACCGAAACTTGGGAGTATCTCGTAAGCATTCCTCGAATTCGATCAAAGGCTTCATTTTGTACTGTTGGCTTTTCGAGATCTCGGAATGCAGCTTCGTCCGGTATACCGCGACCTCGAAATGTTGTACGCGCGACAAATTCCATGAAACAACATACGGTTAACAGTCCAGTGCGACTGATAAAAACCGCGAGTATCCACAAGACTCACGAGGAAGGAGCACGTTTCCCACCATTTCCCACGAAAGACTCACGATTCCCACTGTTCTCGTTGTTCTCGCTGTCAAACGCCAGCCTGCGCCCCGCACCCTGCCCGCGCAACCTGCGCAATCTGCGCTAGTGTAGCTCGCTACGCAACACGAACGTAAGAAACGTAAAGAAAGAACACGTAAGAACACGTAAGAAGATGACTCACATGACTCGCTTGGCAGTCGGCGGTAATTGCGGTAATTGTTGGTACTGTTGTACCAACTGTAACAATTGTAGTAATCCCGCGCGCCTATGTATCATGTATTGTATATACGTATCGTACTACTCGTCGCGTGAGTAAAATCAGAGAGGAGCCTCAGAACGGACGTGCCCACATTTCAGCTGGGACGCCTTATTCGCGTAGGTAACGTCCGCGATTTTCCGTGCTTCTCTTCCGTGCTAGACGCAAGAGTAAGATAAAGACGGTGCCGGATAGAGAGCGTCCGTAGAGAGCGTACGGTTCTTCGTTTCGACCGCCAACAGATGGCGATCGTCACCCTTGCCATGTTTGAGAACAGAGACAGTGGACAGAGATGCACGGAGACGGGGATGGAGAGGAGAGATAAAGCGCGAGATCTAACGAAAGGTTAACGGTTAACCTAAGAGTTTAACCATGAGAAATCGCAATGTTAAATATACGTAACGTTGCATTTTAAACTTGGAAATTAATAGGTAATAACGCTAAATTAAATTACGAAACGAAAACAATTAAGACAGTTAAAGTTGAATCATGCGTTACGCGAGATGTCTCGGTTCTCTAAACGCTACCGCCTTGGCGTATTATTATTATGTGTTCGGGAATGTAATCGCCGCCAACGATTCCAATCGTGACTTTGGACGCATGTACAAATGGAGAAACCTGCAGGAGGGCTTCCAAGATGCGAAAATTTCTAGGAAACCAATATTTCTGCTGATCCACAAATCAGGCTGTCCGACTTGTGAGAAATTAAAGCCTAAATTTGCCAATTCGATCAGAATTCTCGATCTCAGCCAGTAGTAAGTACTGCGCGAAACGCCATTTACCATTTTTTTTCCGAGCTTGCTCGCTCGCCTTTACTATCAATTTTTAAATGTGTATTCAATTAATGTATATACAGACAGAGTATATCTTACAACAGAATCTTTGACAAATTGCGATCGTGCGATAATCAAATATGGACCATTTCAAATGATACGAAATAAGTATTTCAAATTAAACGAAATAAGTATATTTTTTGTACACTTTTTTTTAAACTTAAGAATTGCAACTAGCAATATAGCAAATATTTAGTTTATTCAATGGAAAGGGAACGAACCCATCCACGCGTGCGTTATTACATAAATAATAAGATAAAGAGAAATTGGTAAAAGAAAAACAAAAATTAGGAGAATGAACATTAACATAAACACGTATGAATATAAATCTGTGACGATGCAGCTTTGTAATGGTGGGTGTAAGGAAAGATGAGATTCCCGCGCAAGACGAAGCAAGATTTCAACCAGACGGGACTTACGTTCCAAGGATCCTCTTCTTTACTCCGGATGGCGAATTTATGAAAGATATTTATAATCGTCATTCGAAAGCTGACGATAAATATAAGTATTTTTACAACAACACGAGTCAAATAATAGATAGCATGATTTTTGCATTGGACAGTTGTCCCAAAGAATCATCGAGTGGTACTTTTGACGAAATGAAAAAGAAGTTATAACAATTAAATATCAATGTTATACAACGATAATATGTACCACTGTTATATAACGATATTTAGATGCAGCTGAAATAAAAATTCACATTTTGCTACAAAAATATAATATTCTCTTAAATTATGATAAGAAATATTTTAGAAATTAAAAAGATACGGTGCATAGAATTGTTCATTAATATAAATTAAATTTTATTCATTAAAAGAGAGACCGCGAGAGACAGAGATGAAGAATAAAAAAATAAATATATGATCGATAATATATGATTTATAACAATAAAATATTAATTGCTTTTTTAACAAACATTTATAAAGAAAATAAAGTATATAAATATATATATATATATATATATATATATGAGGAGACCAATTTCGTAGTTGATACGTATCTTCCTCCCTCCCTCCCCCCTCCTCTCTCTCTCTCACCGACTCTCTCTCTCTCTCTCTCTCTCTCTCTCTCTCCCCTCCCCCCTCTCTCTCCCGTTGAACTACTCCCAAACAATTCCTCACGGACGCTTTATTCCCAAAACGAAATAAGCACGCCTCGCTTTCCTGGCGTGCTCGTAGCAGAAGCGTTCGAGCGACGTAAACAATCAGCAGCGTACGTCAAAAATTTACTATTTCCATTAAAAGTTAACGGCGACGCGAAAGTGTCGAAACGAGAGGTACGAAAAATAGAGGGGCGGCGGAGATTGTTTTCTTTTCAAATAATTGGACGATAATCGTCGCCGGGATTAGCTCGGCGATTGCGAATATAGTTGGAGCACGCGAGGTAGCTTTCCCGATGCGAAATACCAACCGCGTGAAGAAAGTCCGTCGTAGGACAGCTTGGTCGGATTTGGATATTTAGCGGCGTCAATTATTTAGGCGAGCGTGACGCCTACGGAAAGAGAATCGTCACAGAAAAGAAGCGAGTCGCGCCGAAGCGTTTCGCGGCGTGCGAAATTTCCGCGAGCGATTTCCGCGCTGTCCGCTCCGCTGTACGTGTGTGTGTGTGTGTGTGTGTGTGTGTGTGTGTGTGTGTGTGTGTGTGTGTGTGTGTGTGTGTGTGTGTGTGTGTGTGTGTGTGTGTGTAGTGTTATATACCTGGCATGTACATACAAGATACTCTTTTTCAATTGATACTGTAAATTTTTCTAATAAAAAAATGTATGATAAAAGTCAAAGTGCCTTTCTCTATTACATAGATAGAATTGATAATTCTAAAGTATATTAATTTAAAACTGTTCATCACTTGAACGATTATACACGATCGTGGAACTATAGTCCTAGGCAAATGTTTTTGAAGACATCTGTTTTATAAATAAATTTATATTTCTTATAACCGAATGTGGATTCTACCGTTTAGATGCTTAAATATTTCTAAGAGACTAAGAGAACAATAACAAGATAGATAATAAGATTTTAAAATTGAAAAATTTAAATTGAAAAATTTAATTTAATGATAGAAGAACGCGAAAAGACGGTTGGTCTCTATGATTTTGTACATGTGTCATATGAAAAAGGATACAAGCAGAAGAAAAATTGTCTGAAGAGTGAAATTGATTCGACGCGAATACTTAGAGCTCAAGTACAGACGGTAGCTTCCGAGTTGGCTGGTGGATTTCGTAGGACGAGTGGAGCTTACGCACACGTTATACGTTATGTATGGATCTCTTCGCGGACGGTTCTGTATTTGAAGGGTTGCAGATAATATATAGCCCGTTTCGGCAGAGAGTGCTTTTTGGCTTTGACCGTTTCACATCCGGTGGCGGACCGACCGACCGACCAACCGACCAACCGACCAACCAACCAACGAACCAACCAGCCAACCGACCGACCACCCGCGGTCCTATATCGGGCTATTGCGCCGTAATATCGCATCCGAGCGCGCTGGCGCACCCATACCCGCACCCGCACTCGCACCCGCACCCGCACCCGCACCCGCACCCGCACCCGCACCTATACCTCTACGCGTCCGTCACTTTTTTTTCCCCGCAGAGTCCTCACCATCATCCCACCAGCGAATCTGGGGGCGGCTTTAAAAAATGAGCCAGGACATTATTTCTGCTCGCCCTCTCTGCGATTCCTGCACAGACTGACCGGTCCCCCCAATTCCACTCTCTTCCTCTCCTTTTATCCTCTATTCCGACGTCGTTTCCGCCAGCATAGCTTGCAATATGCCGCATCAGCGAATGTGCAAAAATGAAAAGAAAGAAACGGGAATCCGTGCAGAGGATGACAGAGAACGAAGATCAAGGATAGTTGGATCGGAAACGAGAGATCGAGATGGGAAAGGAAGAAAAAGAATTATATATTTCTCGCATGTCTTTCTCGTCTGTCCGTCATTCGTCCGTCTGTTCGTGCTTTCGTTCGTTTGTTCGTTCATTCGTTCATTTGTTGGCTCATACACCCATTTCGTTTCGATTTGGATATGGATATATATGCTCGATAGATATATCGAAGAACTACGGAACACCATTTTCAATTCAATTTGTTAAAAGCACGTCAAAAAGTCATACGTATTTCACAGGCGCGGTAGATCGCGATGAGATCGTGCGAGCTTCATCGCAATCCGACAGCAGCTTGCATGGTGCGCGTCGAAAGGTATATGAATCCACATAGATGTACATTGACGTATACGTGTAGCAGTATCACCCAGACTGCGAGATTAACGAATAACGGTCACCATTCTTCTTGGCAATTATCGGAGAAATTGATATATTTTAGACTTAAAGTACTTTCAAAAGTAATACAAAGTAATCTTGGACAAAATGATTTGCAAACTGAAGGAGATTTTATATAATTTTTCATATAATTTCAAATAATTTTTATAATATAATTTTTTAATTCTCAAGTATTCGAGTTGCGAATAAAAATTATTTTACATATCTTATTTGATTTAAAATACATTTAAAAACGCACGCACGCACGCACGCACCACACACACACACACACACACACACACACACACACACACACACACACACACACACACAGACGCGCGCGCGTACTTAAATAGAAGTAAAAATGAGATAATAAATAAATCTATACAATAATTAAATTAAAATATACTACAATTGTTTCTCTATCTATTTCTTATTTATTTTAATACTATTAATTCCTACGCGCGATAGATATAATGTATTATTTATTTAGTTAGTTTTATACTAAATTAATTCTTACTAATTGGTATCTCTCTCTACTCTCTCTCTCTCTCTCTCTCTCTCTACTCTCTCTCTCTCTCTCTCTCTCTCTCTCTCTCTCTCTCTCTCCTTCTCTCTCCTCTCCTCTCTCTCTCTCTCTCTCCTCTCTCTCTCTCTCTCTCTCTCTCTCTCTCCCCCCCCCCTGGTTTTTAAAAAAAACACTTTTTTAAAAATTTGTCATCAAATTTGTCATTTAAATAAAAAATCCTTTTGTGAGCGTCCAAAAAAGTTATTTTTCGTTATGATTGTATTTAATGTGCTTTCTCGTATGACATTCTCGATCTCATACTCGCAGCAGACATATTTAATTTCTTCGATTATTAAATTGCAATTTAAAATGGATAATTTGACCGAGTGGATATTGGACGTTTGCAATTTGTTCGAAAAAGGGCATATGAAATATTTACATCGAGTAAGCAGACAATCATGTTTTTTACATCTCTCTGCCTTTCACATTTAATCTCGAAAAACTAGTTTTATGAACGTATCGATAAAATCATTTTAAGTCTTTTTCCTAGAGTATCATTAGTAAAGTAATTAGTAAGTAGGCTCATTTTGTGAAATGATCATCTTGAATTATATATTCATAAATTAATGTGTGTGTGTGTGTGTGTGTGTGTGTGTGTGTGTGTGTGTGTGTGTGTGTGTGTGTGTGTGCGTGCGCGTGTGTGTAGAATATTTATTCAAGATATTTGATACCACAATTGTCACTTTCCGAAGTTGGATGCTCTCGGAAACGAGAGCAACTTTAATGCACGTCTGCGTTTTGTGTATCGCGCATGTTAGGCGCGTTAGGGCTAGATAGGGTAAAGGAAGGTAGGGAAGTAGGGAGGGAGATAGAGAGGGAGGTAGGTAGGTAGGTAGGTAGGTACCTAGGTAGGTAGGTATAGAAACGTAGCGAGATACGGGATTCAAATCATAATGCGCACAATGCTTTTATTCTATTCTCATTGCGGGGTAAATAACATCTGTACATTAGATCACTATAAAATCGGCCGCCATTGGTGAAACGACACAATGGGACTCTACTCTCCTTCTCCCTCTTCCCTTCTCTACCCCATTCAAATCTCATTGTACAATATGATTCAAAGAAGACTCGTCGCGATGATGGTGTTGGTTGCGGTTTATAGACGTATCCAACGAAAGAGAACGAATGAGAGAGAGGGATGGAGGGTGGAATAGTGGAATGGAAGAGGGAAGATAGCGGGGGGAGGGAGAGATGGGGGAGGGCCGATACATACGAAGAAGAGAAGAAAAAAAGGAAAGAAAGGAAAGAGAAGACATGTTCCTCGAAAGGGAGAGGATGAGAAAAGTGTGCGTGGTTAAGAACAGTCGGCTGAAACAAAAGGCGGAGCATAGAGAAACGTCTGAGCATCGTTTCGCATTGTATTTTATGCCGGAACGGGTTTTAAATAAAAGAGTAATGTGTTTGCCCGTTGCCACCACCACTGTTACCACCACCGCAATCGTAGTCGTTGCCGTTGTGTTGCTGTCACCATCACCGCCGCCGCCTTCTCCGCCACCATCACCACCGCCGCCGCCGCCACCACCATTGCCATCGTCGCCGTCACTACCACCACCATCATCACCACAATCATCACCACACTACAGCTATCATTACCACTATCACTATCACCACCACCAC